ATATATATGTATATATATATATATATAAATTTGAACGAATGGTGTTTTTGGCCTCTGGGGACATCAAAATGAAAAAGTAAATCGGTCCCGGGCTTAGGTCTTACCATGAGACCTACGGTAATAGCTACTTCCCTATAGGGAAATTCGCTAATAAATCACAGTAGGTCTAATTCAATAAGAAATATAGGCAATCTAGCCATCTATATTGTCTGTATTTCTTATTGAAGTAGGCCAGATCTTTAACTGCCAGCAGTCAAAGGTTAATATGATGAATAATTTACATGAAAGATAATATAACCGATAAAATAATATAATGAGCCAAAAAAGCTAAGGCAATTTCACAGGCAAAGACTATTTCAATACTGTAGAAAAGTGAGACTGAAATCCACCTGGAAAGTACTTTTTTTTAAATGGTCATAATCAGCAAAATGGGCTTCAAAAGACTGTTGTAAATGTTGTTAAACAACTTTACACAAACTTGTTCAACGGAATTTAGATCAGTTTCCTTGATTGGCAGGATTTGGCTTCAGCTCACTCCTTGTCATTGTTGGATGATTAGTTTACTTGCATATACTCTCAATGACACATGTATTGCCAATAGTTGGGAGTTTTATATGTTATAATGAGCTGTGCATGTGTTTTTGGAAATGGGTTCAGTTGATAATTAATACTTAACTAAAATGGTTTTGATGTTAATCTTAAATATGAAAGTAACGGTATTTTCTGATGATTTAATATATTAACCTCATTACTTTATGCTACTTGGCTTTAGAAATAGTTTTTAAATATGATATCACTATTTACCACTTCAAAATATTGTATTAAACAAGTGATTATAATCGCACAGCCTAAATATTCAGGGCTAATTTATTAAATGATTAATGTTAAAATAATTAACTTGACTAATAAATATATTTTCACCACACTATGATGTTTTTTTTTGCTGTATTACATACGTTTATTGGTGGCTGAAAGTTACGTTTTGCTGGCCATGCCAGCTGTAGGACCGAGAAGGTTTTTACATCCCTAGAGCCGCAAAATCAACAGTTCGGTTATTTACTTCATATATTAAATACACAAGCTGTATCCATAGCATTGCAATAGACTTTCTCATTTGTCACCGCTAACTAGCAACTGTTTATTATTTTTGCTGATTCTTCAAAATTATTTAAAATATTTCTTCACATAACCTTAAAGTTGTAGTTGTGTTGACTGTTAGTGAACATTATTATTGTGTTGAATAGTGATAATAGGGTATAGTGTGGTGAAAAATAGCGTTCGTACCACAGACCGAAAAGGTTTTGCAGCACTCGAACTTAAAAGCTATCTCGAGCCAGCAAAACCTCATTTTCGGCCCTAGGTACGAAATAGACTACTTCATTTTATTATTTCATCATACTAAATACCAGTTTGTTAGTAGTTATGTTTATTGTAAATATCAAGAATGTTACTACTTCTAAAGCTAATCAATAAAATAATCATAACGAGTAACATCAACAAAACACTAAAAAGCTAATAAAGATAATAATTAAATGTTTTGCCCGAAAAATCCGTTTTATCGGTATTTAAAATTGTCATAAAATTGTCGTGGAGCAGTACCCCGCGACTGCAGCTCGCGGCTCTAGCGACTGTAGCTCCAAGCAAAACAGGACTATGCAAAACCCGCAAAAGCAGTGCCCCGCGACTGCCGCAAAGGTGTTACAAAAAAGTGCAACGGCCATAACGGCAATAAGTTGAAGATGTAATATTTTTTTCGGATTTGAATTAGCTTAGAAATACTCCGCTTTTTTTAATTAACAAAATTAACTACCAACTCAAAGGTCCTTGGTCATTTTTGTATGCATCTTGTTATAAAATGTAAGGTTAATCCGGGTTTTCCTAGGCGCGGAAGTGGAGAGCGGAGAGAAGAACCCGGAGAGCGGACTCCACTTGTCTTAGGTAATTTAATGTTACTGTTTTCCTAGAAGCGGAGCGAAACACCATGTTAATCTCTTTTCCACTCTCCACGTTCCTCTCTCCGCTCTCCGCTTCCGCTCCTAGAAAAACCCAGCTTAAGTGAGTGCAAAAGTCAACCGACAAGGGTTTTATCCAAATTAATTCATCAAAAAATAGCATCTTAAAATGTTCAATGTTAAATTTAATTAAATAAATTGCCGATGAATACAAATATACATAACGAATTGAATTTAAATCACTCTTTATTCAAAATCCAATGACTCTTTGATTTTTAAAATCGGTTAAGAAACAAAAGGTTGTGACAATTTATAATAAACGATATTTTAAAACACCGGCCATTGAAAATGTCCAAAGTCGAATCTCAAAAAAAAAACTCTGCACTGAATAAAAAAATACATTCTATCAAACGTAGTGTGATTCTAAATCCAAATCCAAGGGCACCTTCAAAGTGTCATATTCACGTTCACAATTAAGTGGCTAGTTTTCTTGAGATTTGGCTTTGAAAATAGAATGCCACTGTTTAAAATTATGAATTACTAGCTGCGTGCCCGTTATAGTAGTCAGTTGAAACCTTCTTATATTAAGAACAGCAGTTGAAGTACTATAGACGATTTAGATTGGTAATTTATAATAAAAATTACCAAAATATGCCACGAACTATTGATACATAAACAACGTAAATCGTAAGCAATTCATGATGGTTTGCTGAACAAATGTTTTACTAAAATGAGTTATAGTTTTCTTAGCATAAACTAACACTTTGGAATTCAGACAGAAAAAGCAAAACTTATACAATTAAGACATCAATTAAATTGAATACGGCTGTAATTCGACTGTTCAAATAAGGTGCAACACCAACGATAACTAATTTGTAAATTACAGTGATGTGTTGGTACGTAAAAATGAATCTTGCTGCTACCAAGAGTTTTAAGGAGAACCAGTACCAAAAACCAACGTTTATAGTTAAGAAGTACATGCGACCAATTAAATGCGTTAATCAAGTCCCAAGGTTATTGATCTCTTGGTTTTGGATTTCCTCGTAAAAGTTATCGGCAATCAAAGTTATTTCCCATTAATTGCTTTATTTGTAAAGAACTTTGAATGTAAACTTATTGGTGTCAGTTTAAAAATAAACAACCTTATACAAACAACTTTTTGTTATTTAATAGATTACGTATTCTGTAAACAATGATTAGTATATTTGTAATTTTATTTCTGAAGTAAGGAGGCCGTGTGTTCTAGGGAAAAGTACCGGTATCAAGAATCGTCAATGAAAAGGTTGTTATGAATAATTGGGTAGGCGTAATTACCCAAGAGATGGGCTATGGGCCTATTGCCTGTATGGTCCAGCGATTGTATCACACGGTGAGTAGGAAGAGAAAGTGACACATTGGAAAAGCGTGTTTAGCATCATCCGTAAACCGTAAACCTCTGTTAAAATCACCCACTACAGTTGTGATTTTGTACTTTACACTTTACACAACCACCATTGAGAAAGAACGTCGATTGCGTCATTAAGAGGAAACCTTGTTTGTAAGCTATTGGCGGTCATTAATAAATTTAAGTTTCCCAGCCCTATACAACACTGATTCAAGGTCTTCTCTCTGGTTATCAAAACTCAAGAACAATTTTATACACAAAGAATCTCTGGTTCCTGACTTGGTTGATGCCTAGTTATTTAATTTCATTTACGGTTACACTATATTATTCCACTTGGGATTAATTAAATCCGTTAAGTAAGAAAAACGTTTTTAATCTCACTTGGTTGGGATTTGCTTTCAAAACGTAATCGGAAATGGTTGCGGTATTTGTAAACAACATTTTTAAACATATCAGCGACAGCTATCAAAAGTAATCTTGATCCGAACATCTGTTCGTTATTTCATAGATGATTATGTGATAACAATTTGACGAAAACTTGACAAAAATCACACAAAACTGCATTTTTGAACAACCGTAATTTTATTTACAAAGCAGTGAGGCCATATTGGCTAAAGACGCTCTCGCCAATCCAGTGAATACATTAAAATGACTTGGATCTTGATAGGTACTCTCGTTTTCCTAGAGAAGATAGCGTAAAATGCCATCTTGAGTGTTACATACAGACAGAAAGACAGACAGACAGACAGACAGAGAGACAGATTGACATACGGACAGAAATTTAGATGAGACTTGTTTCGGCTTCTTTAATGTATAAAACGTAAAAAAACCTAAATATTTATGATTCTGAGCAATGTATAGACAAAACTCTAATTTTATTTATATAGAAGAAGATAGATAAAAAACATTCCAGAACTTATTTGTTTCTAAGCCATTTTTTTTTAATGAAAGTGTAATTGAATTTGGAATGAAGAGTGATTTTAATTTAATATGATGTCTCTTTTTATTTACTGGCTAGTTTTCATGAACTTTTACTGTTGAAATTGATTATAGGCTGCCGTTTAAAAGTTTTATTAAGTTTGGTACAACTATTTTCGGGTCCATTTAATAATATTTATTTCAAAGTGTGTACCAACCTTCATAAAACAATAGTCAAAGGGGTTTTAGTTTTTTTTCCAAAATTACAAAATAATGGTGCATTATAAGATGAAATCTAAATTAAAACTAATAAATGACGCTAAACCTAAAACAATCATGTTAATGGACATTTTAAACTTATCTTGGTATGTTAAAGTTTAACCTGGTTCTGCTGACCACGCTACGTATTTTTATAACACCCTCTATTATAGAATTCGTTTCATGAAAAGGGGTTTTCGATTATTATTAAACAGCTTTTCACTCTCTATAAAATAAATAATTAAGTATTTGTTTCATTTTATGATTTATAGTATTACAACCACACTTACGAATACATAAATATATTAATCGTAGACAAACCTACTGCACATATTACATGGGTGTTAGTTTGTACGCTAAAGTACACATAGGAATCGTTCACGAGATAACATCTGCTGTTCAGAGTTTGATATGATATCTGTAGGCTAGTTTTGAAGTAGTTTCATTCAAATAGTTAAGGTGCATTTACAATATTTGTAATACCTATTATATATTTTGTCTGTTATTCTGACATATCCAAAATGGAATATCGGTTATTTGAAGGTAAATGTTTTAGGTTATTAAATTCAGCTAGTACATTGATTATTTACGAGCCTTAAACAAATATGGTGCGATGTCATTACAAACCTCTTTCAATACTCACGAGAGAATGGTTCATAATGTTGTATATTCAGTGCAATAAAGTATATTGAGATATACAGTACAGTTATATTAGACTTTCATTTTCTCGAATACACCTAATTTAAATATTTTCCTTACTCAATATTTCTTCCTTCAAATATGCATATGCTGTCCTGAATAAGTTAATAATTTGCTTAGGAAGATAGAGTTTAAATAAACATATTAAAGAAAGTATGGGGAGCTTATATATATCACGAAGGACTATACTTTGGTGAGTCGGTGGCTCATACAGTAGTGCAACGGACGACAGCAATGTCGTGGGTTCCGACCCTGGTACCTGCCACTACCTTTTATCACCCTTGTGCTGTTCTGGGTCAACCCTTTCCCATACAAAGGCCTGTGGCCTATACTAAAGGCAAGGGTATAGAGTCTGACAACCACCTTCTCTAAAGAAAAGGGAGGAAAATGAAGGAACCTACCCATAAATTTACTTGTATAATAATTTGTCATGGCATTGATCACAAGTAATTAAAAAACAAAAAACATATATAAATTGATATATTTATAATATTAAAATATAAACATTTCATAGCCCTCCTTCGAAGGTTATTCACAACTAAATAGGAATTCACATTTATTCCAAACACCAAAAATATCTAAGCATTTTTACAGAACTTTGGTCCAACTAGATACATTTCTTGATAAACCTGTTTTTTTACATGAAAACCCACTCCTTAAATTTTTATTTGGTTTAAACAATTATTAATTAAATAAGTATTTTAATATTTTAATTGAGACATACTGTAGTAGCGTTGTAAACATTTTTCAGAATTTTTTGTTTTAGATTCTTGTTCAAGAGAATCGAAAAAGAAGGAAGCTACTATTCATCTTCAACCAGACATATTAAACGACTTAAACCTAGAAAACACCAAACAAGAGGTAAAATTAGAAAACAATAACTTAAACCCTAATGCTTCAAGGGGAGGTCGTGGGGGTGGGTCCAAAGGCCCACGACGAACGGGGCGTCAAGGAGGGAGTGGGGGTAATAGGGGAGGAAGAGAGGGTATGAGAAAGAGACATCCCAATTTTGCAGCTCGAAACAGGAAAATTGGGAAGGGAGGACCAACTGGAAAAGGAGGACTAAGTGGAACACGGAAAAGAATGCCTACAGTTCCCCGTCGTCCAAGAGACGGTGGAGATGAACCGGAAGATTACTATCAAGAAGTAGACCCAATGACTGGTCGTACTAAGAGAAAACAGAGACCTAAATCTGACGAGGCAAAAGAGAAAGCTCGTAAGCGAAAGGAAGAGGATACATTTAGAAAGTCATTCAAGAAAAAGCGACCTGGACCTAAGGCAAAAGATAAGAAAGATATGAAGGAAAAGATCAAACGATTTTGGAGGGAAACGCCTAAGCCGAAGGGTAAGAAAGTGCCAAAATTTATCGGAGATGGGCTTGAGTCCGAAAAGGAGCAAAGTATATCAGAACCCGAAGACTTTGACGATCTACGAATGCCATCAAAAGAACAAATAAGGAAACTAGAGAAGGCTAAAAGAAAGGAGATTCAACGAAAGCAAAAGAAACATGAACGAAAACAAGCTTCCAAGGAGTTTGACGAGTTTACTTCAAACAATCTTCTACAGGGGAGAGAAGGAAAAGAGGTTGACGAATACGTACCAACTCTTTCGGAGCTGGAAGAAATGGATGGTGAGGTAAAATCAATCATAAATAAAGCAGAAGCTGACAGCAATAATGAACTCATTTATGATACATCACCACAGTTGAAATCAGAAATAAAACCAAAGAAGGGTCAAAAACTTATTAAGGATGAAGAGGATTTAGATTTGGAATCAGAGCAGAACGAGGAATATGATTACGCAGCATTTTTGGAGCAGAAAGAGCAATTCGAAAAGTTCAGTGGTGTTATGGAAACCTCCCAAAACAATTATCATATAGATGATACGGAGGTAGAAGAAGATAATAAAATAATTAGCCGGGAGGAAGATAAAGCAAAGACATACCTTTCTTCAAAATGGAATGAGGAAGACAGTTACAACAGCGACTTTAAAAAAGAGACAGATTCAGTAGCAAATGAAATTGCTCAGGATGAAAAATGGTCAAAATACCGCAAAGATGTAGCCTTGAAAGCTTCTAAAAGATCTTTGTTGGTGCCTGGAATAAAGATACCACGGAATAAATTGCATGAGATGAAAGATGTAGCTGAGGATACTCGTCTAGCTGATGATATCAGTACTGGAACTCTTAACGAAAAGGATGCTTCCAACTATTTGGATGGTGATTCATTAAATGAACTTGATCAAGAGATTGACGATCCAAAGATAATGCAAGAGTTCGAGAAAGATTACGAGGATATCAAGGAATACCTAATGAAAAAATCTGCATCTAATGATGAAAGTGAGAGAGAATCTAAGGATGGGAAGAATGATGATTCAGGTAGTGAACTGGAATCTGCGTCAGATGAAGACGAAGTATGGGATAGAAACCAGAAAAGGTTTCGAAAACAATTGAGGAAAAAAAGGAAAAAGACTTCCGTTTCTACCCTTTACATTGATAGCGAAGACCACAATATAAATACAGACAGCCAATTGACTGAGTGCGGTGAAAATGCATTGGAAAATATGTTAGAGAATCAATATTCACAGAATGGCGTAGTAAATAGAAACAAATTAGGTAAGAAAGATAGGACTGTGAGAGATACACCTGTATCACCGCTAAAACCAACGGGATCAATTGTTGACGAGAAATTAGACTTACTACGTAGTAGAATCAAAAAGTTCCCGGGTAAAAATAATGAAGAGGTTCCTCTAGATGATGTTTTGCAGCATTTTTATAATGATGATGATCCAATGGTTAAATTTCAAGAGGATATTTCGGAGGAAGAATGGCAGGATAAAAGTGTCGCAAAAAAAATAAATATCAATGATTATGATAACTACGATGTTCCGTTATCCGGAAATAAAGTTTCCACGGATTTTGGTGAGTAATTAAACAGTTCTATATTTCTGTGATTTTAGGGTAATTTATAAAATAATTGTGCCAGTTCTGAGTACACTAGGTCTACTTGTGTTATGGATCTCTGCAATTTTTCTTTCAATAGGGTTAGTTCCTTTTGAAAAATTCAAATTTTTAACAGGCATTCGATAACTAACCAGCAGTATCTGGTTACATAGTGATGCAATTTACATAGCCTACATTGATGGTGCTACGAAGAGGAAAATGCATTCCTCTGCATTGGCGATGAATGCATTATGTGTTTAACAAAGGTTCCTTTTTCTTTTGAACAAACCTTTGATAGATGCATTGTTTACTCTAAAGACATTACCACGTGATAACCAGTAGTTTTTATTCAATTTTACAGTTTTGTCGAAGAACGATCATAATTTTTTTCTGTCCTGGCTTACAAGAAATCATCTTGTTTTTCGGAATCATACAGTAATAAAACCTAATCATTGATTGAACAAATCTAATATTCTTGGGAATTCGATGCATATTGGTCAATAAAACTGCCAAAAGTGCAATAAACATCCAACGTGAAATCTTTTGACTCTTCAACTTCAAACTATTCAATACAGTGCCCACATCTTTTTGCAAAAAGAAACATAATTTTTGCATCAGGGTTTGGAAAGGATAACATCTGAAAAAACTGGTACCTTTTTTATCTGAAACCTGTTTTTTAGTTTTTATCCTTTCCAAACCCTGATGCAAAAACTGTGTATTTTTTGTGTAATACTTTTCCAAGACTTTGTTTTGTTTACCCTTAATTCCAAAATGTAATCTACTTTTTTCTGGGTATTTCTGGGTACTTCAAAATGGGCTATTTCTGGATAGCCCTCATATATAAAATCCCTAATTATATATTCCTACATCAAATATCAATCACATATTCATATATTACATTTGTATTCATATATTACAAATATAATCATAATTACATTCCTTAATAAAAGAGAAGGTTAAGATGCAAAAGAAGATTTAAAGCAGGTCAATATGTCCCTCATTATATTTAGCTAGGATCAGGGTATAAACTAAACTAGTTATAAACAACTGTCTCAAACTTATTAAACATTGAAAAAATTAAGTGCGGGTTTCCTGAAATACTAAATTATTATATCTTATGAAGTTACGTGTTCTTCCTACATAAATCATATTAATGAATGGCTCTGGTTTTAAGGAAATGCTTCTCAGAGTAAGGAAAATAAAGATGTTCACAAGAGAACTAACGACGATGAGTCTGAAAGCACGGACCTATCCGAGGACGCAAGTAGTTCGGACAGCTATCGCGAAGAATACGACATAGCTTTGATGGCTGGCCTTCGATCTGACAGAATCCGGGTATTTGACAGAAACGTGGAAATGTACGCTGATCAAGACCATCAAGCTAAAAGATGTAAGTTTGTAGACTTGTTACTAACTGCACTAAACATGTGAGTAAGCTGTAAAATTAATCGTATTAATCACTAAAATGCCAAGTCTTTGACAGTTTAATATTATTTTCATGGTTGTGACGGTTGTTGTAGACAAAAATAGTTAAATGAAACACGTTAAAACAGCCATGTAGGGTTAAATACCTTAACTAATCATAAGCTATTTCTAGCTACCAAATCAGATTTTAACATGAACCAAACGTTTTAAACCATATTCATTAATTAATTGGACAAAATGCGTTTATTCTATAATCGACCGTTTATCTCTATCACTGCTAGTTTGAGATCTCCACCATATTGCCACTGAGGTATATGGACAAGCCAGATCCATATAACTATCGCATCGGTACATTACAAAACTGTTTAATTAATAGTAAGGCTCATCTCAATAAATTGTGAGTTTAAATGATACCCTATTTTACTAAAGTTAAATTTGTGAATCACACTAATTTCAAACACCACTCTCAGGCCAGGTTTGTAAGCTTATGCGTGTGGGTGGATCATATTATCAATTTCCTATCCTTTAGGGCAGTGCTTGTCTGTCAACTTGTGACTTTGAGATCAATCAGATCTAAAACTAGTTCAAAAGGCCAAAACAGCTCCAATTCTTTATCACAAGTAAATTTTGCTCCTTGTTATTTTTATATCACTATGTGATAAATGTCTATAATTTTCACTTTTATTTGAGACATGTACATTTTAGATTCTTTTTCACCACTGTAGGAGCAAATTCAGCATATAGTCAATTTAAATTAGTATAGCTAAAGACTAAATCTCGTTTAATCATTTTACAACACACAATATCTCAATTCTCTTAACAACACCCTCAGAATGTTATTAAATTCCTAATTTAAAAACGGATACGATGATAATTCTCTTGACACCTTATCAAAGGGGATTTCACGATAAACAATCGAAAACATAGTAAATTAAAGGTTGTGTTACAAATTTTATTTTAATCCACGCTATTGAATGGTGTTCCAAAAAAATGTTAATGCTCTAATATTAGTGATTAGATATAACGTGAGGAATGGATATAATATGCAGTTAACAACATACCCATTCCACTGAAATAGGTTGCAATGGACCTTATTTATGAGTAATACAACTAATACACATATAGTTGATTCATTTTTTTTTATAGTAGAGTATAACATGTTTAATTTTTAATTCAATTTGTAGCTTTATTGCGAATGTGATAGTAATCCTCTTTAAAGGGTAAGTCTCTTGAAGTAACGTATACATATTGCACATTTTTTAGATGAAAGATTTTATACGGTATAGTTAAGCATCTTGTTTAGTCTACAAAATATAATTATTTGGTTTTGTTGAATATGAAACAGTAACATTCTTATCGATAATATGGCTATGCTAGTTACATCACTTATGAATATACAGTATATTCAATATTATATATATATGAATATTTATTTTATTGCATGTATCTTAATTTTTTAAGTAATAACTAGGCTAAGTAAATATGCAGGATTTACTTGAATAAAACCCTTATTTTATTGTTTGGAACGTTTATTACTTTTAATCAATACTGAAGTTTGACAAAGGCCTTGCTATCAAAGCAAAGATATATTTTTCTGGGGAGAATAGTAGGCCTATTTTATAGCATGTACATAGTTATACTAAAAACTAAAATAAACAAATACAACGCAGAACAGTATAAGCATTCACTTAGTTCATCCAATTAAATTGTAATGATGATGGGAAATACTTTAATTACTGTTAAAATGTATGTGTTATCATCATTTAACCTTTAAAAGAGTGTTGTGCCGGTAAACACCCATTTTTAAACCACAATTGAAATAAAATATCTATCTTTTCGACTATACTTCGTTCATAATATTTAGGCGGTTTTAGGGGAAGAAACCTATCCCCTCCACATGACCCTTACTTTTAAAATTATAGCGCAACAGCATACATTACATACAAAAAAGTTGTGGGGAAACGTCCTCTTTAAAATAAATATTGTGAACGAAGTATAATCTAATAGATCTTTATAGCACAAGTTTCCAATACTTTATATTACTTTACATACAAATGTAGGTAGACAAACATTTCCCATAAGGATAACATGGTAACTTAGAAGGCCACTGGGGCAGAGCCCTGATGGAATTTGAAAGTTTTTTTGTTTTATGGCAAATCTACGGGCCAAGGCCTATCTAACGACACCTTGGACATGATGATCAATTCCGGTACAGCTTTAAAACAATTTTTACAAAATTCCTGTCGGCATATTAAATAAATAGAGGATATCCAAGAAAGTGTCAGGGGGATTCCATGTTTTTGTGTACTGTATTTTGAGTTTTTATATAAAATAATTATAAATGTAAAAATTTGTTTTCAATGTACAATATTAAAACCTTTAAGATAGAGGTATAATGATACGTTCTTTAGTTTAAATAAATCATACTTAACTAAGGAGTGTAAACTTTCTGTTAAGTCTTTTAGATAAAGATGATACGGACAATCAAGTGAAAATAGTCTCTTGAAGTACACTAGCAGATACGAAAGAATGTTTTAAAAGTCATATTTAGGATTACTTTGGTTTTCACTATCAAATATTCACATCCACGGGGCTTTGTTTACACCATTTTTCCTCTTTAGGATATATTTAATAAATTAAAGATATATCGTTAATGTCGAAAGTGACTTATTCCGAAGTGGTAAGGAACTTAGAAGGAGCGAAAAGGCTTAACAGTTTTGTTAACGTCATGGCGAAGGGTTTTAAATCAAGATTAATTTTATTTCATTTATTTATTTAATTAATTAATTAAATTCAATTAAATTTATTTAATTTACTGCATATCATAACACAGAAATACAAAGATTTAGTAGAATCGATTTAAATAAAAACCTTTATGACAGGATATAAATATATTTTTTAATTTCATTTTGATTTAATTTGTTTTGTGATTTGATAAAACACAGCTGTTGAAATGAGTTGTTCAGCCTATAAAAAATCTTCCATCCTCTATTTATAACTTAAGCGCTTCTGACGAGCACTGTGGACTACCTAGTACAGAAAATGATCATTCTCTCAAATTCAGATGTAACTACTGTAATTAATTCAACATGCAAATTGAAGACACATAATAAAAGATATTTAATGCTTTAACAAACTAACATTCACTACACATCAGAACAATAAAAATCCCTAGTAAATATTATTTTCTCTATGACAACAAGAATCAATAAAAATCATCCAAAGATAAACAAATAAAAATTGTCACAATATCGAACAGCTGATAACTGATTTATATTACAAGCACACGCCCCCGTGGTGTCAACACCAGCACGACGCACATCAGCAATATGGTGTGGCATGCCATCAACCTCTACGCTGGTTTGTGAGTGCTGCCGTGAGACCACACCAGGCTTCAATCTCGTAGTACATAGAGAGTTTTTAGGCTTGACAAACACAGGTTCATCAGGAGAAAACTCAGTTCTTAGTTGCTCGTCAGAATTTACAGGTTCGCCCTTACACCTCCACCTGTAGCAGAACAATTTAGAGCTTGGTGCCGTCTCTTCATACAAATCTTCTTTTGGTGTTAGATTATACCAATATACCATTTCTTGAACACTTCTTCTGGTTCTTGTTGCCATTCTCTTTATCGTTCTATGGTTTCGTTCAACGATTCCATTGCCGGACGGACGGTTCACACACCTAAAACGACGGATAACCCCCCATTCCTCACACATTTGCTCAATTTGTTCACATCTGAATGTTGCACTATCGTCCATTAATAGTTCTTGGGGTGGACCTCGTTCTGAAAACGGTTCAAGTAAGATCTTTACCACCTGTTCTTTAGTCTCACTTGGGATCCGTCGCCAAATGCAAAACCGACTTGGACCACAATCTATAATTGTAAGAAATTTATATGACCCATAGTGAGTCTCATCAATCGCAAGCCTGTGCCAATTCTTGTCGCAATCCAAGTGCCCCGGCTTCCATTTGATGGGGGATGGATCAACAGATAAACATTCTTTGCATGATTTTACTACGCAGTCAACGTCCTGTTTGCTAAACTCAACGTCCGGGTAACAACGCCTGACTGTGAAAAGAGTCCGATTAACACCAAAGTGATGCAGACCATGGATTCTTTTGACCAACTTTTGTTTATCCCCATCCCCTTTTTCACCCATCATTGCAATAATGGTCTTTTCCTCCTCTCTTGCCAACCACTTTTTAGGGACTCTCGTCAGGCGATCTGCTTTGTTAAATTGTGATTTAACCAGATCTATTCTCACCTTAAGGCCACATTCTAATATGAGGTCTTTTAACAATCCCAACCGTCTTCTTACAAGAGCTTCACCCATCCCATGTGTTTTAATACGTCGGTCTCCTGTTAATATGGATGTTACCCAAGCATAAACGGTGGCCGAATCTGTGACCAAGTATAACTCCTTCAAATTCCATTTCGAAGCTAAATTCACTCCTTTCAACAAAGCCTCTAACTCAGCTAAGTTAATATGCGCCGAATCATCTTCTTTCCTTAGCCAAGACGCATCATCAACTATTTAACCATCAATTTCAATGCAAATACCGATCGCCAAGCTGCTAGTATCACACTACACACTTCCTTTATCACTAGATGACACTGCCCATTTTTCAAACACAGGATCCTTTTCTTTTACGATTTCCATTATATATCCTAACATTATCTTGATTCGTTTGCCCACCACATTGTCCCATTTCAAATCTGTCAATTGCCTCTTAAGAAAACTGCATGCTGGTCGAAGCCAACCAGCCACCGGGAAATGTCCGATTAACTGCTCACACAAGGAGTACACATCCCTCTTGGTCTCAATTTTATCCAAAGCTTTCATCTTGTTGTCTCTGGTCCACATCAACTTGCCATCTCTTTTTGAAATGTTAAGCCCCAAAAACCTACTTCCATCAAGTGGCTCCACTGGTTTCGCTGACAGTCCATATGTTTCCAACAACTTC